AAATATATCAACAAGTGGAAAGTAGCAATGCCAAGTCCTTTTTATCTTTGAAGTAAAACACATATAAGTCATTCATCTTAGTTTTTAATTAAATTAAATCATTCAATACCTAAAACCCCCTTTTATTTACCAAGTATATAAAAAGAGAATTATTCCTTTTCCTGTGGATACGAACTCTACTTCACCTATCTTAACCTATCTTATAAAGGACACCTATTTTTATTAAATGTTTAGACATGTGCTAAATCCTTATAGAACTTTGCTTTCTCTACATGTACATTGTGCTACTATTGTTGTACGCTAAGAACTGTGCAGATGAAGACGTTTACCGCTCGTTAATTGATTAACGCCGTCTAAATCCCTGCGTTAAGGAAGTTGGAGCATCAGATCCTTTCAACCTTTAGATTAGAAATCCTTTGCAAATCCCTGCGTCTAGATCCGTGCATTACTTTGCTTTCTCTACATGAAGAACTCTTTTCCAAATCGTTTTGCCTGCTTCTTTTTTTAGATTAGAAATTAGAATCGTTTGTGAAGCTAAACAGCCATCGTCTTCAACCTGCGTTATGGAAGTTGGAGCATGAAAAATAAATTCCTATATTCAATGAAATTTAAGTTTCGGATGATTTCCGTCTCTTCCTCCGGTGCTTCTATAAATGGAGGTTTGCTTAGGTCTGTCGTCTTTTTCATGCGGATTGATCAACACTTCGGTGAGTTTCCATCCCCCTCCAATAGTTGATGTTTATTGATCATTACCATTGATATATGAGTATTACCATCACATCTCTTTGCTTGTTTTCAACTTTTCTGTTTAATTTTGTATTCATGTATGCCCCTCCATAGGACAGGAAGTCTTAACTATCAACTTAATCTTTGGATTGGCTTCAATATCTTTTATTTATTTTTGGGACTACTCAAGTACTTTTTGTAACCTAAGTTTGTAACTAAAATGCACAGCCGACCTGTGTCTACCTGTCCCTGGACACGATTGGATTCACCAAGGGTCCCTTTAGGATGGTTTATTTTTTTGCCCTTTAGGATTGGTCTCTGTTCTGAATTCTAATAGATTCTTTTCCCTATGCATGTTTAGTATAGTCAATTCATTGAGCTTATCATCTTGGCACATGGGATATATTAGTAACAGAAACAGTTTATATGTGGGGGTTGACTGCTTTGTAGAAAATTTTAAGAGTTCTGACGTGGTAAATGCGTTAAAATTTCTCACTCTCTGGTATACAATATGGCAGAGTAGAGTGGCAGACTGGTTTGTTGAAGGCTGTATTAGAATTTAGGACTGCACCAAAATGAATTGAATACAAAACTTAAAAGTAATAGTTCAAATCGGGATGATGTAAGAGTAATCTACTTGTTGCTAAATGTTCCCACTATTGTAAAGAATTTGAAATAATGAAAATAAGAGTTGTTTGGTGACTTTTTTTGGCTTATACGTCTTATCAGTCAAATTATATTTTGGTTGATTCTGTTGAATTTACGAAATTCTGGTTGAAGCGGCTGAATTGGTCAAATCTACTGAATTATGAAAAAAATTACATTATACTACCTCCGTCCCGAAATATGCATAATAGCGATATCGATGTGATATTCTGAATTATGATGTCAACTTAAGTCCGTGCACAAAGATTGAGTGATTATGTTCTCATTTTGAAAATTGTTTTGAGATCACTTTGTATCAAATGTGGTTATGTTTAAATGAGTTTTGACTTTTGATTCATGCCTAATACGAGTATACAATTTTGTTCAAAAGAATAACACTTAATCTCAGAGATAACCAAGACCTAATGTATCCTACAGTTAGAGCGTTTCTGCTAAATGAATTAATTGAAGCCTAATATGCTATACTAGAATTCTGTCATAATATATACACATCTAGAATAAGTGGGTCAGCTACATAAACATATAGAAAATATCCCGAGTTCATTTACCAATATCTTCATTTCCCTCTCTTTTCTGCCACTCACCATAGATTCAGGAAATTGTCTCGCCCTAATTTTTTTACACCCTCAAATCATGGCATTTTCGTTCCAGAATTTCAAGTTTTCTCTGTCAAATCTACCCACTGTAATGAAAAAAATGGTATTGGTTTTCAAGCTAACTGAACCTTTGCTTCCTGCATAGTATAAAATGCATTGGAGGCAATAAACATTCAGATTTTGCTAAATTACAATTTGATTTAGATCCCGGCATGCACTGATCTCATTTTCCTTTTAACCTTTTCACAGCAACTTGTCATTTTGTCTTTTGTCTTAATAAATGCAACAATTTTGCTTAGTATTGAAGGGAAGCGACTTGTTTCTTTGAAATCGGCTTTAGAAACGTATCTCTTGAGGTAAGCATTTACATTCCCATTTCGCTTTTCTTCATTTGTCTGGACCATATTACATGCATGAATCTATGTTTATAGAGTCTGTGAACTTTTACTCCATAATTGTCTGTGTAACTATCTATATTGGAATATCAGTTATCACCTTAAATGTGGTAATCATATCATATAACTTTGACTAATGGACACAACATTCCATCATACTAAAAATTGAATGATTATAGCATGTGAATCACTAAAATTATATTACAATTTTTTAAAATTTCTTTTCAAACTGCCTTCATATTATCTAAATTATTGTTAAGCATATCACATTCGCGCAACGCACGATCAATTTACTAGTACTACGTATAAGTGCTAGTATCGATTTATTTTGACGCACCGTGACAAAGTGCTCGTCAATCCTATGTTTGAACTTAGGAGGATTCAAGTTCCAAGAAGGATAAAGTAGTCGTTCCAATAGATCTTTGTCAGATAAAGGTCCCCGAACAGGTATATATTCATCACCCAGAAGTAGAAAGTGATAACGTGTCAACAGCCCCCTCAATCTCCGGATGATGATTGTCAAACGCTATAACCTGGAGGGGTTTTTCTTCAATATTGTCTAAATCATTAACAAGAGATGCATTCTCTATAAACTCGGTTACATGACTAATACTCGAAGAAGGTGAAGATTCAAATACCTCAATCAAATTCAAATCTTCCCTAAATAGTAAAGATGATATTGATGGAGACTCAATAGTTTCAATATCCCCGCAATTAAGTCCAAAGAGGTCATAACATATATCTAACTCCCTGAAATAATCAATTTGAGTTTCTGCATTTACCCTCGATATTACGGTAGTTTGAGTGCCCAGAATCTTGATAACCCTTTGTAGCTCCACATTAAACCGTTGAAATCCTTTTCTTTTCCAACCTTCGGGAATAATAATAGTTGACCTATCTTGACCTTCTAACTCCGTCAAACGTAGGAAACCCCCAAACTGATTTTTCTCATAAGATATTTGAAGTTTACGAGAACCCTCATATCTTGTAAGAATCCAAGAAGTGCCTGATTGAATACAATGAAATGAATCAAAAAGCCAATTTGCTCCGTCTTTATCAAATGAGATAGTTCGTGACCTGATGCCTTTTATTTGAGTAAGATGTAAGAACGAAGAGACAGTAGAGAAACAAAAAACTTTACTTTCAATGCTAAGATGTGAAGGAGGGTTCGTTAATTCTATCGTTCCCCTCGGAAATGAACACCCTCGTGTAGGTTCTCCTGTACCTTCATCGTCATCATTACCGAATCTAACTTCCCTGAAACACTTGGAAGAACAACAAGGTTGTCCTGAATTTGGAATTGAAGCACATCTGCAATGTTGTGTGTTTGCCACCTTAATTTGTTGGGGCTAACTGCTGCAACGTTGTTTTTGAGATTCCAGTAGCCCAAGTTTCACAAGAATGTCTCCAAAAAACAATAGTTGGTCGACAGATAGTAGGGGACAATTGGATTTCCTTTTCTCTGGCTTCTTAAAATCATATGATGTCCATTTTCTTCGATGACAATCGCCCTTCACTTGTCTCCCCTGTGCCCAACTGCCCCTGATCGCTATTTTCTCCAAATATGGTCTGCCCCTCACCCTTTTAGCCGTCGATAAATGTTTCTGCTCATCTACAGTGAAAAATTGAGGATAGCGATGCAACACAACATCCTCTGAAGTCTCCAACGTTGTGTCGTCTCCTCCAGCCATGTGACGAGAAAGACCTAAAGACTGGCGATCTCCCCAAGTCTGTTGCGATGAGAAGTACGTATTTCTAATAGATCCGCCGGAGATGTCATATTTGTTCCCACTCTAGCGCGACTGAAACTGCCTCAGCAAGCACCTGTCAGAACGGCGCAGATCCCTAATCGCCATTCTCCCTCATCTCCTCCAGGAAGAGCTATCCCTCGTGTCATTTTGATGTGCCCACTCTTTTTTAATTTCTACTTTCGAGGGTTTTGGTCTGGCGTCTTCCTTGACCGAAAGTTTTGTCTGCTTCATGTGAGCGTGTGGTATGTTTTTCTCCTAGAAATGTCTACAGGTTGTGTGTTTCTCATCGGTGTAATCGATCCGGTGAGTTTTCACTGTTCAGGGACCTCATGGTAGGAAAAGCTTATTCAACCTTGTTGTTATGAGGATTCTATTATTCGCCCTCCACCTGAACCACCGCCTCACTTCAGGAAAAAGAAAGCACTCAATTGGATCACCTTTTCGATGGCTGGTCAAATCGATGATTCAGATAATTTTGGCTCAGTAGGATTTCCTTTGTTGATTGCAGATCGAATCAATTCTCCATTTCTGATGGTTGGTGAAGCGGGATCTTTCATTTGTAAGTTTTAATTTTTTATTTGGAGTATGTAGCAAGTGCAACAAAACTGTGAGACTTAATTACATTATTGCAGAGTTAGCGATCTCGAAAGATTCATGAGATCTTTTCCGTTCAAAGTCTCATCCCATTATTGTAGTCTTAGACAATTCATTTACTTGTTTCTTTGGTATCATTTGATAGGAATAAATTAGTGATTTGATTTGAAAAAAAAAAATTATTTGGTCAAAATTACAAAAAACACATTGATGACCCATATGCCTCTACTAATATACCCTCCATCTTCCACTTCGATAATCTCATTTCACATCTTAATTATTAATGCCCACATACACTAATAAGTCAGACATCGACCGGCCATGAAAGCCTTAGAACGCCTATTAGTGTGTTTCTCCCCCGCCTCCACCGACATATGTCCCAGCACCGACCGCCGCCGTGTGCACCGCCTTGGCCACCCGCCACCCAAGAGCAGACATAGCACCTCCCAGTCTTCGCCGCTGGCTAATCGGCCCTTCGAGTCACGCCGGAAAAGCTCATCCGACGTCCCCGACAACCGCCGGTCAGCAGCTACTACCACTCCTGCCTCGGGGTCTTCCTTCATTGACTTGCTGGCCGTACATTCTAGTCATCCTCGAACAGCCTTGCTTAAGCGGCACAACTCAGCCGATCACTCCGCCGCTGATTCCGGTTCCCGGCCGCTTGAATCTCCGGGAGACAAACCCTTATCTTTAGCTAATTATCTTGATGGACATTCCACTCACAATTATTATACTTCGTCAACGACCACCCCGTACCGTAACCATCAGGTTTATTACTTCTATGCCATTATTCGATTATTTTCTAATTTTAACGTACTTAGTCTCCATATCATAAAATTAAAAAAACTTACTTAGTCTTCCCATATATTTTCCGTCCAATATGTATGGAAATATCCTTCCCTTTCAATTACGGAGTATAACTAAAGTTTGGCTTACACACTTTTGTACACGGCCTGTTTACACAAGCTAGCAATTGAGAGAGAAATAGTGCATTTTTCTTAACGAACTGTTTGTGTATACAGACAATTAAGGGTAGAGTTGTGCATTAATCAGGTCGAACCGTATTTTAGACCTGAACCGGACCGGAATGAACCGATCTAAGGGTGTGTACACATTTTTTTTTTGGATTTGGAGAAGTAAAAGGGAAGAGGTGTTTTTCTTATAGTAGGTTATTTCCAGCATTTCTGTTAAAATATTAAAAATCCTTCCAAATATGACTAAATTATACTCCGTATACAGTATTAGTGTACGAAAAAGAATATAAGTAGCTATGTTTTACGGAGTATTTCCAAAATAAGAGCTATTTAGTGCCATTGAAAACATAAAACTTTCCCAAGAATAAATTAGTCCTGTTTAACAAAATTGATAATTGTCTGTGTGTTTTATCCCCGTTTTAATAAGGAAACATAAATAATTCATTATATCATCTATAGTATTCATCTAACATTTTGAAAATGCCAACAATTAAAATTTGAGAAATTACCCAAAATAGGACTAAAAACGTTTGTATATTCCCAAATAGGACTATCATGTTTTTATTGACTAATTACTGCCATGTTTTGGCAGTACCAGACCTTAAACATGGCAGTATTTTCCAAACTTGACAGTAATTACTCCTATTTTGGAAATAAAAATTTGACAGTCATATTTTGGAATTTTCAAACTTCTTTACTCCTATTTCGGGAATTTTCCCTTAAAATTTTCTACTTACGAATTACGATTAAATATGTAATGTTATAATATAATTTTCCATTTTTAGCTTATTTTTCATTTTGTTCCTCTAACTTTAGGGAATTATCATTTATATAAAAAAATGTCAATGCGATAATTTCACTCTAAAATTTTCAATTTTTTACCTTTTGGAAGTACGTACTAATGCATCGTTAAATAGCTACGGATCGAAATTAATTAACATATATAAAATGTATAAACATTAAACAGTAGTAGTTGTTTATTATTCTCAAAATTTTAATTACCCTACTTTGTTCTTTTTTTAATTACCCTACTTAGTTAGTTCTATTAAAAGCATAAAAATCTTCAATTGGCAGTGTTGTGTCATACTTTAATAAAATCAATGCTAATTTGTGCACTAGTATACTCCCTCCGGTCCTAAATAAATTTCACACTTTCCATTTTGGGTAGGTCCAAAATAAACTTCACACTTTTCTCCCTTCCTTATTTGGCAAATTATCTACATCAAAACAGTGCAAAACAGTGCCAAACAGTGTCAAACAGTGCCAAACAGTGTCGCAACAGTGTACTCTACAGTAAATTCAAATTTATTTCCTTAATTTGTGTGAAGTCAAAGTGTGAAGTTTATTTAGGATCGGAGGGAGTATGTAGTACTCCTATTGGCAATGTGTTATAAATAGGAGTATATATTAATCCTATTAAAGGAATTTTCTCATAAGACTTTCGGTAAATCTTGGGTTTTAGAAATGAAATGAATGATGGAATAAACGAAAGTTCGGGTCCCGGCCTTGTCACTTGTACATGTCTGTTTAAGTTTGATTTAGTCTGGTTTGGTCTGCCACGAAAGTTCGGGTCCCGGCCAATGATTTATTTGTTTCAGCTAACATCATTTATATAATCATCCAATACACACTTATGAAACTTGATGAAGTAATTATATTAGTGTTTGTTTCAACCTTGCGCAGGTTGTCGAATTGAAGGTGGCAATTCATTGCAAGGGTTGCGAAAGGAAAGTAAGGAAGCATCTTTCCACAATGGAAGGTAATTTGAGTAGGTATAAATAGAAACCAAATTTAGAATATTTTTATAAGGTATATAATCACCGATACTCTTGCCTTAGGGCATCTCCAATGTGGAGATGAATTGTTCTTAAAATGCATTCCACATCAAGGAATGAACCATCTATATTTCAAAATCTACTCTTCAATGCAAAGAAATACCGGCCTAGTCATGGGGTCTTGCACGAGATCCATATACAAATCCTTAATCTCACCTCGATAATGTTGATTGGCTTTCACTTTCCTATATTCGTTTTCATCTTTGAAGTATTTTTTATTTAGCATTGGAGAGCCATTTGGATAGACCCTATCATTTACGGAGTGTTAGACAATTGGCCCGTATTTTAAATACACCCTTTTTATTTTATTGCCATATCAGCACCAATGCACTCCTACCATTGGGGATGCTCTTATACGCACGGATCGGAGTAACTTATAAGTCTTGTTTGGAGTAACTTTAGTATATACTAATTAAATAATTATAACATGTTAAATTTTACACTATTCATCCCTATTCTAACTACTCCATATATGTTTACAATAAAATGTTTGACTGGTCCTAAAATTAACTAATCTTTATCAATATTATAGTTATGTTTAGTAAATAAAATTTACATATTCAGAAACTACATTAAAATCTTATAAAGTCGCAAAAAGAAACTCAAATTTGAAAAATGTTAAGTTCGATATAAATGGTAAAATATTAGGAACAATTTAATTAGCTAGACTTGATGAATAATGAACGTGAATCTTATTTTGGGACAGAGGAAGTGTATTTTATTTATTAATAAATCATAAATTTAATTTTGAAATTTTTTATTAAGTTAATCTCTTTTTAATACTCAAAATCACATTTTTTAAATGTTTTTACTAATAAGAAATGGAATATACAAGTTTATACTCTAAATTGTAGTTTGCTAACGTGAAAATAAAAAAACATTGTAATAAAAAAAGAACGAATGAATTGTATCGCAGTCGTAGATATTGGTATAATACCGGACCATTATCTATATTTTTATACTCTATTACAGTATAAAATAAATTCAAGACAATTCAATAAATTAAATCCCGTGCACTATTTTTTTACACAAAAATTTATGGAAGTTTTAATAGGAGAGAATAAGAAATCAACATGACATCCTAACAGAGTCAACAAATCCTGGCAAACCATATTATCAAAATATTGCTAAAAAATATTCTTCAACCAATGACACTATTAAATCACATTTACGAATAATATGTACTATGTATTAAAAATAAAAGAGAAAAGGTACAAATAATACACCTCTCTAGTATGAGTGTGAGAACAATTATACATTCGTTCTAGTTTTTTGAAGCAAATATACCCATAAAGTATATGTAGAAGTGCATATATATACCTGAATTTTTTAAAGGTACCAAAATACCATCTAATGTTTGTATAAAGGAGAAAATTCACCCTTATATTAAAAAATATAAATTCGAAATTGAGAAAAAACAAAATTAAAGAGTTAAAAATAAAGATATATTTTTAAGTTAAAGTATTAACTCTCTAATTTTAAGTTGCAAATTATTATTTCTTTATTGTAATGAAGCATTTGAAATTCATAAATATTAATTTTAGTCTTGTTACGAAATTTTGAACACATTGTTACATTTTTTGAAATAACATTCTTTCATTTTTTTAAACTTAATAAAATAAAATTCACTATTTTGTAATCTTATTCTATTTATCATCATACAAAATATGTAATTTTATAGCGCAAAAATACAAAAAATTAATTATTTTCTTCATTGCTACACGTATGTTAACACTTTTTTGAAAGAATATTAAATATATAGGAAATTTTTTATATAATATTTTATATTGACAATATTAAATTATAATATAAGTATTAATTTTATATTATTAATTTGATCAAAAGTGTTGGACACATGTTACACATATAATTGTTTTTAAGATACTGAAAAATATAAAAAATTAAGAATTGGTCGCATATATTCTTATTTTTTTTATTTTTCAGTTACGAGTTTATAATTTATTTTTGATGTTTTTTGAAATTTAGGAGTATATTTCTTCCCAAAAAAAGAATTTTCACTCATACACAAGCTATATTGGCACATTTTTACAAAATAAAATACACTATATACACTATATACTCGGTACGTACGATCTACTGTACCCTATTTTAATAACAATTAAAAGGGAGTTTTTTCCGTATTGATGCTAATTAATTAAATAATTACGGAGTTAATGTTGGGTTAAAACTATTTACCAATATACTGCTAGGATTAACTCTTGTCGGGCAAAGTCACCAAACCGTTTGGCGACTTGTAAGTCACCATCCAGTTTGGCGACTTTCCCCTTCCCAAATACGTTAACACCCAAACGTTCTGTTTCAGACCGGCGCCGGTCAGGGCCCAACCGGGGCCGGTCGGGGGCGCCCCGGTGGCGAAAAATTGCGTTTTTCGTCCTAAATCGATCCTTATTGTCGCAATTCACCGTTTGACGACTTACAAAACACATACAAAACATAATTTGGTAAAAATGATACAAAACGAGAAACACAATTTGGTAAAAATGATACAAAATGGTAAAAAGTATTAATAACACAATATCCATTAGTTTGCAGGTGAAAATACGTTTAAAAGTACAGTATTTCTATAAAATTTGGTGTACATTATTTCGTCCAATAATAGAGAGACTACAATTTGTCATGGTCTTCTTTATCATCTTGGTCATCAATCAGCCATGGATCTGCTGACACCTCCATAGTGCCTACAAAAAATGAAAAGGTAGTTAGTCAGTAATTAATAAATAATTTGAAATCATTATTTTATAATTCACATTACTATCAGTTGCGGAATTTAATAATTAAATACTTACATGGTCGACCCTCCACTATCTCTTGAAGATCTCTTCGCACATGTGGCCCTATTATGACCGGTTTGTTTACATTTTCCACATCTAATCGTTCCTTGACGACCTTCATTCATCTCATTCTTAATACGTGGACTTAGGTCTTCCCTTAGCCCGAAGCATGGATGAATCATGCACAATTTCAGGTCCATTGTAAGTCGGCCAATAATCACGATCAGGAATGAGTTTAAAGACTCTTTGATATGTGGCGGCGTATTGGTCATATGAGAAAAAAGGATCCATAAATGGATGAGAAGACAAACTACGTTGTCTGCAAACGGCTAATACATGGGAGCATGGAATCTTATATATTTCCATCTTTTTACATGTGCAAGTACGCTGCCGCAGATGGACAGTTTGTTTTCTCCCACCCTTTCCCAACGTTCGGCCACCACATCCCGTTTCCACTTGGTATATTCCGCGGCCTATATCAAATAGAGTAACAGTGTGATGTTTGGCCTTCTCTCTATTATTTTCAATCAAATCCGTGATGTGTGGGGAGTAGTCGTGGCCATCTGTCACTCTTTTTTTTTCTGCTTTCATGCCTATTAACAAAATAAGCATTGACGCGGTAAAAGGAAACATGGACCAAAGCGGTGATGGGCAAATATCTGGCATTCTTCATCACGTTGTTGAAACCTCAGCCAGATTAGAAGTGATGGTATCGTATCTGTAATCACCATCGTAGTGTAATGACCACATTTTCAAGGGAATGTTCCATAGAAATTGTCGTGCCGCCACCTGCATTTCCCCTATCTTCTTGAACCCACCATCAAACTTCTTTTTTTGATGTTGCCTTGCGGTCCATACAAACAAATTTTTTAGGTGAATGTCTTTGAAATGAGTGTGCACATTTGATGCAAGATGGCGGATACATAGCCTATGGTGCGCATAAGGCTCCTCCCAAGTACTGTCCACCTCATTCATTGCCTTGACTATACCTGCATGTCGATCAGAAATGACACACAACTCCCAATCAGTCACAAACTCCCTAATGCATGCCATAAACCATGGCCAACTCTCCTCATTCTTAGATTCAACAACTGCAAAGGCCAGGGGATATAATTGGTTGTTCACATCACTACCCATAGCCACGAGCAATGTACCCTTGTACTTCCCATACAAGTGTGTGTCATCAATAGTAAGTACGGGTCGACAATGCTTAAAACCATGTATTGAAGGCTTGAATGCCCAAAATACTCTCTGAAACTACATATAACCTATGAAACTACTAGGGGGTGGGTACTAATGAAAAACAGTTCCAGGATTGGAATGTTGGAGCGCTATCATGAAATGGGGCAATTCAGAATACGACTTCTCCCAACCACCAAATATTTCTGTAATTGCCTTTTGCTTGCCCATCCATATTTTCCTGTATGATACCGTATACCCATACTTTTCCTTCAACGTCTCAATGATAGTATGCACTTTAAGGGAGGGATCAGTGCGAAGAATGTCAATCACATCTTTAGCAATGAAATCTGAAGTCATTGCCACGTGATTAGTACTGTCGGTGTTTCCAACACAAGTAGCAGAATGAGGTCTAGGATAACGCACAACTGTGAAGCTGTCGAGGTTGCCTTTGTTCTTTGTGGCGCGTATTCTCCAGGGGCAATCACGTTCTTTCTTCCTCTTGCATTCTGCCACCCATTTGTGTTTATCGGACTCCAACACTCGATAAAATTCATTCCGTTGGATAGGATACAAGCTCACCATATTGATGACTTGTTCTTTGTTGTCAAACTGTTGACCAACCTCAAACTCACCTTCAGGTGTAAACCTTTTCATACCTGCTCCACTAATCCACGCATCCGTAAAGCCTTCAGGGAGATCATATATTCTAGTTAAGTGGCTAGATGGGGCAGTTACCGTGACAGTATCACCATCATCTTCATCAGATTCTGTCATGTCATCACCATTGATGTTCTCGTCAGCATCATCATCACTGGCCTGCCCATCCACAAAGGAAGCATCATTGCGCAAATACATACCCTCTTCCTCTATAACCATGTCCAGTACAACATCATTTGAGGAGTTCCTTGCATTGACACCTGCATTCACACCATGCCTAGATACAACAACATTTGATGTTGACGGAGCTGTAGAAGAGTCACCTATGGATTCCTCAATGTAAATCTCCAGCAAGGACATACTCTCCATCTGAATTAGCGACCACATATTTGTGACATCTAGCTCATCAACAAGTGGCATAAGCATGAAATTTCCCCCGTTAAGGGGAAATTTCCCCCGTTAAGGGGAAATTTCATTTTCAATCGCAAAGAACGGCTCGGAGGAATCATCGTAGCAACATGTATTTTTTGAAGCATTTCGAGCAAACATGCGTCATGAGAAACAATGAAAAAGTTGCTTCTACCACCTTCATGGCGTATTCAGCCAACATCCTCATAATAGTTCCCTCCCCAATGACACATGATTAGGAAGTAGGAGAAATCCATATTCTAATAACAATACATGACGATAATGGATGAATACACATTAATATACACACTTTACAATATTAAAATTCAACATTTCATACATATTCACATTTCACAACCAATTCACAAATCAATTCCTACTTTACAAATTCGAAAATTATGATTTGAAACCCTAGGTTGAAAAATGAGATGAAATTGAGGATTTGATGTACCTAGAGGTTGAAGAAGATGATTGGGGAGTGTATTTGGTTGGTGGAATGGCCTCCTAGAAGCTGTAGTCGCCGGAAACCGTTGCTGCAGTTGCTCTTCGCCGGACCAAATTTTCTTGCTGCTATCGTTCTATCTGGTTTTGCAAGGTCTGGCTGCAGTTTATTAAAGAGGAAAGTCGCCAAACGGTTTGACGAATTATAAGTCACCATCCCGTTTGGCGACTTATAAGTCGCCAAACCGTTTGACGACTTATAAGTCGCCAAACCGTTTGACGACTTACCCCGACCATGGTTAAACCCAGCAGTAGATCAGTAAATACTTTTAACCCAGCATTATTTTCGTAATTAATTAATTAGTTAGCATTAATCCAGGAAAAAAACTCATTAAAAGTTTGGTGCTTTTATTGTGTTATACTTGTATCCTTCCAACGAATAATAAATGGTACAGTACGTAAAATATGATTGGTACGTGATATCTGTGATTCTGACGTTTTGCAATTACAATATTTTATTTACTAACTACGGTAATTATCCTTATTAATTTCAAGTGTATAATCCTGGTGGGGAAAGGCCATTATATTGTCTCAAATTATTACAATCACTTTTTCTTTTGGTACTTAGTGATAATGTCAATACTCTACCGACATGGTCTGAGGCAGTGCAATATTTTATCAAATTTGTACCCGTACCGTGTCTATTGAAACGATACAATTCGGATTGGTTTTAGAACTAAAATCATTAGATATTGTTTCACCTATAAATACTAGTACTACAATACCATACTATATCAATGGAAAAAAATTAAATACCACTTTTATGAGGGAACTAAAGTTCATCGTATAACGAATCCAAAAATGTTCTTATTTATATCATTATATGCATCCAAGTTTAGTCATAGGTCAAAACTTCATCGATCAAATTCCAAATTACATAATTAGTAAAATTTAGAAGCGGCATTTCAGCAATATATACAATTTAAATTCAAACTTAAGATACTAAGCCCTACACCGCATAGTCTCCTTTATCCTACACTTTCAGCTTGATCAATTTATCAGAATCCAAATTTTGTATTTTGCCCTTCTCATTTTGTGAAAACCAGTCATGTAATGGTTTGGAACCGGTAATGTTCGGTTCACGCTAAAATATTTAATTAAGATCCATTTGAATCCCTATTTTGCGGTTCGATACCATGTTGTTCGGTGTTTTTGCCCACCCCTAATAATCTCGAATAACCTTCTTTTGTTATGTTAAAAACAATATTTTTAGAGGTAAGATGACGACCCTATTTTTGTTTTCTACTACTTCTCTACTATATTATGAGTAAAAGAATATGTCGTAGTAACAAACTATTATTCATTCACTATTTTAATAACGCTCTCTATGTATATGAATAACATGCATAAAACAGGAGTGAAATCATTCAGTATCGATTCGGTCTCGCAGAAAGTGATAGTGATTGGAGACGTGAGTCCCTTGGGAGTACTGGCAAGCATTTCTAAGGTGAAGAGTGCACAATTCTGGCGGTAGTTATGATAGACGACATCGACTTCATCTTTGCATCATCTGTTAGCTAGGGTTAGCTTATCTAAATCATTAGATGTTTCTTTAAAATATTTGGGTTTCTCAAACCTATAGTATACGTGGTATCAAAACAAGACCTATTGTATACTTCTTTAGTAGTTACAATAGTTTGATGTTTATACTATTCACATATTCTGTTATAAAATTTGAATCTCTTATGAATTATGATATTAACTAATAATTATGTAGTATTAGCGAATTGATTTTTTGTCTATATCAAGAATCCCATTTCTACGTATGTTGACCAATATATTGATTCATGGTGGTGCACAGGGTTGGAGTGTTGGACCCAATCCGGCAGTCCGGTCTAGTTCAAAATTGGTTTTGGCACTGTGTGGGACCAGACTGGGCCCGTTCTCCTGTTCCGGTTCCGGTCAAAGACTATATAACCGACAGAATGTATATATATGGTACCCAGTCCCAGGTCTTAATTTTGAGGACCGAAGCGATTGGTCTTGTTCCAGAATTCAATCCTGAACCTGAATTTGGTCCCGTCCCGAATTCGGTCCCAACCGGTTAAAATTTAATTGTTTTTAGCCTTGGAACAAGACAAAGATTTAAAATAATATAGCGGGACCAGACCGCTCGAGTACCCGCAACTAACCCAAAACAGGATTTATACGAGTCGAGCATGGGCATGGGGGAAAAAAGGAGGGAACGGGCGGCCTCAGCCTGGAATGGGACCGGACCGACCCGGTCCATCTAGATTCTTCAAGAAGATTGTGGAAGCTTGTGGAGGCTTTCTCGAAAGAATCTTGAATGTAGAGAGGTATGTAGAAGATTCTAGAGAAAGTAAACCCCTACCCCTTTATGAGTAGTATAAATAGATGTTATAACCTTTCATGCGAGGTATGAAACAAAGGCTTCTCATAAGTGAGGAAGAGTGAAGTATTCTCAACTAGAAAGAGTAAAGTGAGATACCCGTTCATTTGTAAACTCTTTTTTTCATTTCAATTATATAATACCAAGTTTTCTTAGCTCGTGATCATGGATATGGTAAAATAAAGGTCAGGGTGTCGCGTTTCCCCAACAGTGGTATCAGAGCCAAGATTCTCGGTGGTAGAGGAACGAGAGTATTTTCTCAGTAGAAAGATCTCGAGAGAGTGTGATGGCATCAAACATGTATGTTGGGTTAATGGGCCCGATAGAGGAACGTCCATCATCCCTCGACAAAGGAACCGTTAAGGCCCAGTTCGGGCATGATCAAGCAAGGGATCCAGCTGGACGTTCGTCTCCACTTAACGGACGAGCAGCTTCAGCACCCCTGGACCAGAGAACCATGGCATGATCCAAGGGCCAAGGGGAGGAAGACGTGCACTAGCCGAGCGAAGCCAACAACCTTATGCTCATATGCGCCCAGAACTCAAGTGCAAGGGGACGCCCGTCCAAACCTCTTGACGGGAAACCAAGACATTGGCGGGAAGCGCATTTAATGCAGTAGATTTGGTGGTTGAAAAGCTATCGACTCACAGTCATCCACATCATCGGATCCACCTACCTCTTGGTAGTATAAATAGTACTACCTCCGTCCCAAAAAACTTTTCCATTATCAAAACTTTAACCGACTATATCTTTTTATTGAAAATTATTTATAATATAAAAATTATATGAAAATGTTCTTTGTTAAAAGTACTTTCATAAAAGTATAAAATTTATAACTTTCATAATATTATACTAATCAAAATCAAGGTTCAAATTTTTTGAAATGACAAAGTTTTTTGGGACAGAGGTAGTAACATTTATTTCATTGTAAAGAGTTGACAACTTATTCCCTCTAGCAATAACAATTATCTCTAGCTCTTCTTATTGAGATAGACGAACCGTCTTGGGGCTTGTAGTTGAAGTGTGTTGTATACGGACCCTTATTAACATTTAATAAGATACGACCCACTTATTACCATTGTAATTTACCCATCTTTACTTGCTTGCAACATATAATCCACTAAACACTCCATTCGAAATCCGATCCATAGAAGGGTGTTGGACCTTTGTATTGAAGAAATAAACATCAACAATGTCGAAGGTGTTTGAGATTCCACTCTTTGATGGGAAGACCCACTTTACGTTGTGGCAGAATACGATCAAAGACCTATTAGTGCAGCATGGTCTGGATCAAGCTCTAGTTGAGGAGAAGCCTGTTTTCATGAGTGATAGGGAATGGAGTACGATGTAGAGGAATGATGTGAGTACAATCCGGTTGGCACTTGCTCCTGAGATTAAGTTTAGTGTGTTGAAGGAGATTACATCAACGAAGGTGTGTGACAAGCTTGAGGGAATCTATGCATCAAAGTCACTGAAAAACCGATTGTGTTTGAAGACGGAGTTGTACTCACTCAAAATGGAGGAAGGAGGTCATCTTCATGATCACATAAACATTTTCAATCAACTACTATGCCAACTAATGAATGCATGTGAGAAGATCAAAGGTGAGGAATATGCATTTTTGTTATTAGCGTCACTATACCAAAGTCCTACAAACCATTGGTCCAAACTCTACTTGTATGAAGGACGACTCTCACATTTGATGAGGTGAAGACAACTTTATGTGAGAGTGAGAGGATGCTAAAGAATGACAATGTTAACACAAGTGTAGATCGCGTACTAGTTGCGGGAGAATGAGGACGATAGTGAGGGAGAAACCGATCAAGAGGGCAAGGTAAACCTAAATGGAGATCAAAGCCTCGGCCGTGTCAAGATCTAAGTGTTATAGAGTGATATTAATGTGGGGGGAAAGGTTACATTCAAGCGAGCTGTCATGAACTGAGGGAGAACTTGAAAAAGTTTAAGGAGGCATCTCTAAGCAAGGACAATAGTGAGTCCCATATCAATGTGGTCTACGATGAAGATGATGGTGATGTTTACTTAGCGATAAGAAGAGGTTGCTAGACCTAATTGGGTGATGGATAATGTTGACTTAATGCACATATGTCGAGATAAAGCCATGTTTGACACCTTGAACACTAATGGAGAGTTTGGTGACTTCATCATAGGTAATTGTGAGAATTCAAAGGTTGAAGGTCCTGGAAGCATAAAGGTGATGCTTCATAATGACACAAGCCGCATTCCCCACAATGTGAGGCACGGCCTTCAAGTAAAGCTAGTGTCATATTGTTGGGTGCATTGATATTAGAGGGATGTAAATATTTTGGCAGAAATAAGTGGTGCAAGGTGTTTAAAAGAAGAAGCTTGATAATGAGAGGACGGTAAAACGAGAAGAATGTTTGGAAGGCGGTGTAGAGAAAAGAAGATGCATCAGAGGAGTCAAGAAAAAGAAAGTGAAATTTTCAAGAGCACTGAAATATTTGGAAATATGAATATATGAATTTAAGGAAATAACTGTTAGGATATAATTCAATATTTCCAAATACTCTGTGAAATTCTAGAGAATTCTAGAATGATATGGAGATGAGTTGAATTCCTTACAATAGTTTGGAGCTATCTAGATAAACGTAGTACTATATCTAGATACATGTAGAACGTTGTGGAGTCTTCTAGAATACTCTGGTCTCTAGAGAAATGTAGAAATCTCTAGAAATGTGTGGAAGGTTGTAGAGTAGTAGTCTAGAGTGTTCTAAATAAGTACGGAGTCATCTACATTTTTTTAAAAAGATCATGAAAGCTTGCGGAGGCTTCTTGAAAGAATCTAGAATGTAGAGAGTTATGTGGAAGATTCTAGAGAAAGTAAATCCCTACCCCTTTGTGAGTACTATATAGATAGATGTTGTAGCCTTGCGTTTGAGGTACAAAAGAAAGGCTTCACACAAGTGAGAAAGAATGAAGTATTCCCAACTAAAAAGTGTGAAGTGAGATGCCTGTTCTTTTATACACTCTCTTGTACATTTCAATTATATAATGCAAAAGTTTTCTTAGCTCGTGATCCTGGTAAATGTTGAGGTGTCGTGTTCCCCAACAGCAATGTCATTTCCGGCATGTGTTTTTGTCAAAAGTATACTTTCATTAAAAAAGGTCTTTAAAATAGACATACTCATTAGTCACTAGAATAAATCAGCGAATGATTAAAGCTACACGATTAATATCGAGTACGCACTATACAATCGAAAGGTATATGTCTAAAATTGTAAATCTCCGCTCACTAGATCGCATTCTAATTTGACTCTAATTATATATAGAGAAAATAGGGGAGAGAGAGAAAAAAAAGACATTCATATTAGGGGCAATCTGATTGATGGAAATCATGGCATGTCAACTCCCTTTCTGGCCAAACATGAAATTTGTGATTTAGTATTTTTTTCATTCAGTTTCAATTGCTCGATTATCAAAAAAGTTAGAGTTTTTTAGATTATATATATGATTTTTATGATAAATTAATATTAACTATTGAAGTATTAATTAAATGTTTGAGATGAAAAAGTGAGGTTGAAGGGTCAACTATCGAACAAAATTAAAATCTAACGGTTGAAATTATTAGTTGATACTAATGAATAAAGAAACATGGATCAAACTTCATTTTCGACGTGACATGAACACTAATAACATCTCTCTCCCTCTTGATTTATTACTCCCTCCGTCCCTAATCTTTCTCCCTTTTCGGCTGGGCACATTTATTAAGATAGTGGGATTTGTGTGGTGGAGAGTTGTGCAGAGGAGAGAGAAATGTGTAAAAATGTGTAAGAATGGTTGTGAACCACAAATTTTTTGCTAAAAGGGGGAAGAGGAGATAATTTTGGGACGGACGAAAAAGGAAAGTTTGAAGATAATTTAGGGACGGAGGGAGTATCTTTTTGCAAACTGAAAATAAATAGGTAGATTCTATGGTACCCATTAGGTACCATACCTTTGTCCACATGGACCAATGAGAATGTAGCAGTTGAATTATTTAAATCTAAATTAAAAATGATAAAGTGGTGTGGTCCAATCAAGTGAATGGTAGGTACGGTACCCCATTTTTTAGAAAGGTACCGGAGTTGTCACCAAATAAATAATATACTACCTCCGTCCCTTTTCATTTTATCATGTTTGACTTTTCCCGTAAAAGATGATAAACTTTGATCCATTATTTTAACTAGTTTATTTGTGTTAAACTTAATAAATTTATACTTTTATTATAGTATTTTTAACAAAGAATATTTTGTATCATTTTCATATTATCAATATTACTGTGTATAAGTATATAATCCGTCAAAGTTTAACGTCATTGACTTGAAAATAATGTTTACCTAAAAAAAGCGATGAAGGAAG